GTTACCAAGCCCCATTGAGATGTTGAGCTTATCAGGTATATTCTCCTTTTAATGAGTGAATAGATGCAGCACTGCTTATACTCCGGCATCCCGGACTCTTCCCTCCACTCTACACGTTTGCCCTCATCCAAGACTGTCACGGCAACACGCTCGCATTTGCACGTCACGCGCTCCACGCACTCTTTCTCACTTTTCTCCCACTTCTCCTTCCAAACCGCCTTGCCAGAGTCGAATACCAGGCCCCTTGGGGTGCAACGACGAAGATACCCCAGTACATGTCGCTGTGCGTGACTCCTCGCTCGGCGAGGCGTTCCAGGCTGTGGTATATCTATGCGACTATGGATGATGTGAATGCTTCGGCCGGTGCGTCCCGAGTTATGGCGATGTTAATATATTCAAGCACCAACAGGTAAGGCTTCAACTTCCTCGAGGATGCAAGGCATTACCCAGCGGTAAATAGCCGCGGTATATACAAGTGCTGAAACTCTTCCAGCTGCCCATACGTCTGAAATTTTGTCTGAAAGGACCGGTTTGACTTGTCTTCAAGGTGCTCATCCCAGCGCGTGCCGCGGCGCTACAGTGTGCGCATCGACAGGCACAACTCATCTGGGCCGCCACAATAACCAGTAGTACACCATTGGACGGGTTCGTGCTCATCCAGTGCCGCGTTCTCGCTTTCGAGCGCACAGTCCGGATGATGATTGTGTTCTGATCGGCCGTGACGACATCGAGGGTCAAGACTTTGAGGGTAACGCGATGACGGGAGAGGGAGACAATGAATCGGGGCGCACGACAAGTGCGATACCCTTCACGGGCAGTCTGAGGGGTCTGAGGGTAGTCCAAGCGAGTCATCGGCCGTCGTCGAGAGATAAGTTCACTTCGCCACCAAGAGAGATGGGAGTGTCTCCATTGGTCATGTTGATGGCCTGTTGTTGAGAAGTATGCCCGATAAGCTGGAAGCCTCTGAACACGCCCGGCACTGACGAGCCGTTGACGTATGGGTCCGCAGAGCATGGGCGGAACTGAGGAGAAGAGAGTGCGCAGGGCCGCCTTGAACAATGTGCACTGTAGAAGCCAAGACCCAACTGTGCTGCCTCAGACGATCAACCGCAGATCGTGGTCGTGCCAGGTAAAGGTCGCATGGGAGGCTCATTCCGCCGCCCCAAACCGAGCGTTTGGCTGTACTATCTTTCCCAGAGCTGGGTCTCGATTGGGTACTCGATAGAATTGTTACTTAAGCACACAAATGAGCCGCAATCAGAGCAACATCCCATGTGCGACAGAATAGGCATCATAGCGAGGCTCCGACATAGGTTCACGAGACGGATACCCTCACGTCCCACGGTGAAAACCGTTTAGTTACTTCGGACGCACGACTTCGCTGGACGTGCTGGACTAAGCCAGTGGTCGGCTGATGCGGTGGCTAGGCGTGCGTATCCTGACTAGGCGCGCCACAGAGTTGCGCGGTGCGCCTGACTTGGACGAGTGAGTTCTGGGGCTCGAAAGAGACACAGCTTAAGGTCGCGCTCAGCGCGGCCAAACGAACCCATTCGTGGCACATGCCTGGCATGTGATGGTGGTCGCGCGGATTTTGTTCCAGCGCGCCGCGTGATTTTGCTTCAAAGTTCGGTTGTTGCCGGGCGTGCGACAGAGACGCGCTCTTCTTTTGCTCCAACGCGACGCGTGATCGTTGTACTTCTGGTCGTCCGAGCTAGTGCCATCTGTGTAGATCGTCGCGCGCTCGCGCTGGAGGTCCATCTCAAGGTTTGTCTTGCCGCGTCGCGGGGGGAACTAAACCTGTTGGAGGACTTACACTTACTGTAAACTGGGATCCCAACCGCTTCCCGGCATCACAGGGTCCGGCGCTGTGAGTCTCAATCTTCCAAACCTCGCCCCATCGCTGACTCTGCGTAGGTAGATCTCGCCTGGATCACTCGGCTGGCCGCTGCGTTCTCAATCCATGACATCGATTCCGTCAACTTATGGACGGCATTCGAGTGTCCCGGCTTGCAGCGGTTCTGCATGTCTTTCGGCATGGCGCTGGCGAACGTTCCGGCCGTTCAGCAGGTAATGGCTCTACTCAAGGGCTCCCGCCTGTCTCTGAATCACCTTGCTCTCGTCAATGCCACGACGAACGGGCCCAATGCTGTGGAACCGGTATCCCTTCCAGCCCTGCGACGATAGTGCTCGGACGAATATCTCGCTGTCTTGCGAAGAGGCTGCAGTTCGTCTCGGATTCACAGCCCACTGCGCAGGAGGGATTCTGCGTGTCAACGAACCCTTCACGCAGATGTCGCGAGGACGTTCGCCTGTAACCACGGCATTCGACTGTATCAGCACGCTCCTGGCTTTCTACTCTTGATGCCATAGCAGCAAGTGGTCACGAGCCCTTCAATCGCAACACTTTTCCGCCGCTGGCTGGTTATCGGTACCAATCACGACTAGGGCGGACTTGGGAGGACCACAACTGGCCCTTGGCACCGTGCATGGAGGCAATGAGAAGGACGTTGAGTTGAGCAGGATGGGCTCGCGGCGACGAGTAGAGCGCGTTGATAGCTGATTGCCGAGGCAAGGACTACAACACTCATGTGGGGACTTACGTGCGTGCGTAATCCTTGACCTTTTGGAAATGTTCGTTGGTGCTGATTCTTCGTATGCAGGCTGATATAGTCGCTACTGTACCCTGTTCCCGATCCACGCTCTGCCCGTCCCTCTCCCTTTTGTACAACATGATGAAAATATCCATGTACATATACACAAGAAACAACATACCGATTCCACAACTCTACGCCTGAGACGCGCACACATAACCGAAGCGTAGCTGGAGCTGCCTCCGTGGGAGCCGGCCCGGTCTGGCTGCGCCGCGCGCTTTCCGTCCGAGCACCTGCTCGACGCTTGAGTTCACACTCGACGTATCCAGTGGTGGGAGGCTACGTACGTCGCAGGATGGTGCACTTCCTCCCGGTGCTATAGCCTCGGTGTTGCGGCCCGAGAACGCTACTCGTCCAACCCATCTTGCCGACACCCGACGAGCTTCGGCATCGCCAAGGCGAGGGATGCAACGGGCGGTCCAATATCCATGTAGGCGAGATGCATCTGGATGGACTGGAGCTGTGGACTCCGCGAGTATGGGGGATTCGAGGGGGAACTTCCAGACGCTGACCAGAGCGTACCGTGCGAGCGCATCCGAGAAGATAACGCGGGTACAGTGATCTTGCTTCGCTTTACTTGAACCCTTATTGACTATGATCATCATAGGAGCTACGCCTAGGAAGAACAAGCCGACACTGCCACAATTGGCAGCCCCATCACGCCCAGTGGCCGTGTGCATCCTGGTGCGACTCTGGTCAACCCCGCTCGCGACAGTTGCCCGGCAGGCAACATCCGCGCTCGCCTGTGTCCGACGACGCGGCGCATTCTTCCAGAGTACAGGCGCGCTCGGTCGCACCGCGCAAGATCCGCATGGGCTGCTCAAAGATCGACCAAGAAACAGCAAGTCTCCGTGACAAGCTTTCTACGAGCGAGACGTGCATGGAAACGTTATCGACGTGGGGTTGACTCGCGATATCGGACCTAAGGAACCCGTGAGAGTCGCCTCGGAGGGGCACTTGAAGATACGTCCGCGCGAGGATGCCCATGCGTACGGTGATAGCATGTGCCGCGAGAGATCTAGAGCGTCACCTGATGCCAAATGCGCTCAGCTCGGACGTGCAGGGATTGGTGCACTTGCGACTTCTACGGCGTGCGCTCGTATGAGCATGGTCCTAGCCGTTTGTCTCTCAACACCATGGAAGCGGCTGGTCTTGAACCCATTGGTCGCAACATGTTCTGTCACTGGCAGGCGACTATGACCGATCCCGATCTAGCCGGCACTGGGTGTTCGAGTGCGACGGTGACGCGCGGCATCGTATAGAAGGGTAGCGCGAAGGACATCGGTGGTATGGAGGAGCTCGCACTGCCGCAGCGACGAGGCACGGCGGGTGAAGCGCGCTGATAGCTTGCTGTTGAGGCGTGGACTACAGCGCTAGCGTGTGCTTGGACGGATGTGCGTCTTTTTCAATCTCTTGAATCCGTGCGTTTGTGTTCACGATCTTCGCTTGCAGATCGTTGTGGCCGCTGCTATACCCCGGCATGCTCCCGATCTACAATCTGCCCTTTCCCTCTCCTTCGTACACCGGTCCATGCCCATATACATAAATGATATGATACACCGATTTCGAAACTCTATATACGACTGAGATCCTCATACATGACGAGCCGATGAAACTCGCGCACGCTCGAACCGAGACATGCAGAACACATCGCAACCTAACCTGAGGTTGGATACATAGCAACAAGGAGACACGCTCGAAGTACGACCCAGAAGATGTTTGTGTGACGCCAGCCCGTAAGCTGACGCACACCGGGAATACCGGGGAGCGAGCGGCAGGCGGCGCGAAGGCGTCCTTGAACGGACCCGACGCGAGGAATCCGAGGCCTCACGGCCCCGGAGAGCAAGCTCCTCGCACGACGTATTCGTCGAACGAGCCCGGAGTACCCTGGGCGACGGAGGCCGGTGCTCTTGCACTCGGTCGCCCGACGAGTACAATGTCTTGAGGTTGAGGTTGTTGAGGTTGAGGGAGAGAGCCCTCCCTGAGTCTTGAGGCACGAGTCGAGAGAGGAAAGAGATAATGAGATTAAAAGATGAGAGAGAAGAGACGAGAGACGAGAGACGAGAGACGAGAGACGAGAGACGAGAGAGACGAGAGGAGAGAGAAGGGACGAGAGAAGGAGAAAGAAGAGTGGAAAGTGGTGGTGGTGGTAGTAGTAGTAGTTAGGTCGCGAACGAGGCGGCGTGGCTATCTACGATCGTAACCCTAACGTAGGGGTAGCCGCCGTAAGGGCGCCACAGTATCGTACGTAGTCTACAAGTACTGTAGATACCCGTTACAGTTTGGACCCTCGTACAGTAAGGAGCCACAATAGCGCCCAATAGCGACATCGACGAGTATCGAACCCGTTTAGGCCAGGGCCGAAGCGTCGCCGAAGCTAGCCTCGTTGGAGCCGGCCCGGGGCGGCTGTGCCACGCGCTCTGCGTCCGAGCACCTACTTGATGCTTCAGGTCACACTCGACGTATTCAGAAGTGGAATACTACGTACGTCGCATAACGGTGCACTTCCTCAATCTCGTCCTTCTCCGACTCACTCCTGATGGAGTCATCACAGCTTGCGCCTCCGCTCTCGACGACCTGACCTTGCGCGCGGGCATTGGGGTCGACGTAGCTTTGGTTTGACCTAGCTCATTCTCGTCAGCTTAGTCGCTCGTGAATGCGCGGGTCGGCATACTCTAGGCCCAGCGACATAGAGTTCTGAGCTGGACGCTCTCCAAACTTAATATCTCCCAGCGGCGAACGTGCCCTGCGCGCGCGAGGCTTGGGTTGCCAGCCGAACCAGTCGCAGACAGTGCATATAACGCGCCAGTACGATGCGCGGGATTCCGCTGTGATGCCGAAGAGGCCGAAGATGACGAATGCTAGGACGGTTGATGTCCAATCAGTGAAGTAGAATTGTCCTACATCGAAAGGCCCACTGGATACTACTTCGCATAGGCAACGCTGTCCGGCTGCCAATCCGTGTGGTCGTGGGTCCAGCCAAAGTAGAAGGGGAAGGGGCCAAGGGATAACTCGCCTTTCACAGCGAAGACAATAGTCGCAATGCCCATAGGCAAGGTGAGCAAAATATCGATGCTTGCAAGAGCAAGAATGCGAAAGTAATTTGTGCGCGACACCGAGTCGTTGCTGTGTAGGACGTATAGAGATCACAGCCTGGTGAAATCGACCAAGAAAAGGTCATCAACACGGATGGTAGAAGCTACAAGGCGCAAGTTAAATGGTATCATTGAGCGAATCCGACTCAAGATACGTACCGAGACCCGTACGAGCGCTGAGTTCTGCGGCTTGATGTGCCACGACGCTAGAGAACAACGAGACGGTACTTGAGTGAGATGGGGGATAGATCCGCTCCCACTTTGCCGGATACCATTCTATCGATCTACGGCTGTGAAACCGTCCGAGTTGCCGAAGGCCGAGCGGCATATGAGGAGGGTTGGTACGTTGAACTTGCAACTTGATTGGAGATCGTTCCGGTCTCCATCTGTTCAGTGTCTCTGAGCACCACTGGTCCACGTTCGCTCTCACATCGGTACAGGTCGGGTATCGTGTAAAGGGGGCGCACAGCGAAGTAGAATCACGATAGGTGCACTCTGGACGAGATGATAGCCCATCTATGTAATTCATCGTGAGCGAAGTGCCGCAGCCTGAAGGTAAGCTGTAAGAAGGATGCGGTTCTCGTGACTTGACGTCCGCGCAGTGCACTACTTTGGAAACTAGAAGATCGTCATCATTTCTGCAAGTGGTGATGGTGGTAGTGGTAAGAGCCGGAGATGGGCCCGCGGCCGTGGAAGCCGGGTGTTAAACGGGACGCACGGCCCGTCCTCGCGGAGACTGTACGCTCTTTCCTCACGACCATAATGCGCAATCTCTCTCTCTTGGCCTTCAGCACCCTCATCGGCCTTCACAATGCACATACGCCGCTTTCACACCTGCACGAGAATAAGAAGATCCTAGCTTAGAACGTCAAACTTCTTCGAACACGACAGTCGAGGCCATCACGGCCTACCTAGAGGATACCGCCGCCGCCACCTCTCCACCCGCAAGCGAGGCACAGCCACTGTCAATCGTACTACTCGCGCAACGTCTTATCTCGCCTATGCTCACAATCCTGAAGGGACCCGCTGTCTATGACAGGCTTAGCGACAAAGAGTGTGCCGGTTTCTCCCAGCTCGAGAGAAACCGGCATGCCGAGGGTCGTTCGGCCGAGCGCGCCACAAGACAACTCTACATTGTGCATTCGTACACTTTCATCGCACGCCAGCGTTATAACCTCGACACTGCAGCCAGAAAACGCCATCACGATATACTGACGCACCCGACGAGCTTCGGCACGTCCGAGGGGAGGGATGCAACGGGCGGTGCATTGATATCTGTAGACGAAGGGCAGCTGGAGGAGCTGTAGTTGTGGGCTTCCCGAGTTTGAGGGACCAGAGGAGGAACCTCCAGATGGAGACAAGAGCATTTGGCGCGAATGCTTTCAAGATGGTAACGAGGGTACGATCATTTCTGGTTGCTTTATCTGAAGCCTTGCTGACTATGTTCATCATCGCAGATATGCCTAGGACGAATCAGCCGACACCGTCATCATCGGCAGCTCTATCACGCCCAGTAGCTATGTGTATCTTGAGGCGACTCTCGTCAATCTCGCTCACGACAGTTACCCCGCAGGCGACGCTCGCGCTTGTTCGTATCTGGTGACGCCGCGCATTCCTCCAGAGTACAGGCGCGCCTGGTTGCACTGCGCAAGATCCGCATGCGCTGCTCGGAGATCGAGCCAGGGACAACGGGTTTCCGTGACAAGTCCTCTACGAGCGGGACGTGCATAGAAACGTCATCGACGTGCGGTTGACCCGCGATATCGGACCTGAGGAACCCATGAGAGCCTCCTCGGACGGTTACTTGAAGATGTGGACGCGCGAGGATGCCCAGGCGTATGGTCTTAGCATGCGCCGCCTTGTGGAGCGTCGCCGAACGCGCTCAACTCGGACGTGCGGGGAATGGTTTGCTTGCGACAATGGCGTGCGATCGTTTGAGGACGGTCCTAGTAGCGCGTCAACCAAGCTGGTTCTTTGCCCCAGAATAAGCCCTAGGGTTGCACGCAGCATGAACTGCTACGGCTAGCAAGTCTATACTGCGAGGTCTGACAGCCTTTGAAGTGCGAAGGGTGATGCTAAGATTCGATCTACCTCATTGTACGAGTGTCATATGGTGGACGATTTGCTCGCGATGCGACGAGCGAAGCGAGTCGCCTTTAGGGGTGGGTGGGTGAGTGCCGGCGTAAGCCGGCCCGTCTTCATTTAGCCTCCCTTGCAGCTTTAATGGCGACCTTTTTGGGGGGAGGGAGGATAGTCACACTGTCTTCATTGACTCAATCATACGTCGGGCGCGCGTTACTATCATTTTTCAGGATGAAGCCAGTATCCGTGGTGGGGGTTTGCACCCCAAGACTCCTCTTCTACTTCGGGATTTGCCTTATGATACATCTTGCTGTTTGGCTGCATCGCGTCGGTCATAATGGGATATATACATGTACGGCTTGCACTGTTTCCAAACAAGCCCAGATGGAAGAATACCGTGACCCAATGTCAGCATGCACCGTCTGTCCGGACTTCTATCGTATTGACACAACGGAGATGCGGCGCTTAGTCGGAGTGCGTGACAGCACTATGTTGAGCACTGACAAACACGATTTGCGGTGAGAAGACTGGCATAAACCTGCATCATACTACATAATAATTCAATAGAATGGACACATGAAAGTCGCGCACGAAAAAGCATGCTTCGCAGAACGCGAACTTCTCGAGTTGTTTAAGCAAAGGGTAATATGCATTCACGAGGAAAGAGAGCCCCAGTAGCGCCCCGGAGGGGCTGTGATGAATATACATGCGCATGCGCGCTCTGACGCATCGCAGACGCGCCCGGCGTGTGTCATGTGAAGGGGGTATTCACGGTGCGGCCTTGCAGGACGCGACTTGCCTCTTACCACCACCGACCCGCGATGGCTCAAGGACCTTGTACTTCCCCGCCGCTCTTCCTCTTCCGCCAACTCCCTATTGCACGTCCGCGCCCACCCTCCCGGCGCTTGCCCTGACCCGCGCCTCAAGTCACAATCATCAACACGACTCATCGGCGGCAGAGCGTGTCTCGCCATCAAGACTTTCGCCAGCTGCGACGCGGTGATGAAAGAACAACATTGCCGTCTCGTGCACAAGGCTTATGAGGTGTAAGTCGCCTATATGCGCTGAAAAAGGGTGTTCTCACCTCATCTCAGCTACCCAGACAACTGGATTAGTGCATTCGTCGAGATGGCGCGATAAAACCTTGCCGCCGTCATTACTGCCGCTACCCTTGGTCCGTCTGGACGTCTTTCTCGACTTGTATATCCTCCTTGGTGCCCCCTCCCGCTCCTTCGTGACCTAGCCAGATCGGCACACCTCCTCAGCGGCACTTGCTGCATCTGCCTGGCACATCGATCATCTACCTCAACTCTACACTATCTCCGTCAACTACAGGGAATGCTCGCGGTGCTCGCAAATCAGGTGCATCGAAGTAGCTCTCGAGCGACACTCCCGCCTCTTGTTAGTGTGCCCGGGAGTCAAGAAGGATTTGTCTGTGCAACCTTCGAAGCACAGAAAGAAGGGCGGGCAAGTGCGTACCTGTACTTGCCATGTTTGTCGTCATACCGCTGATGATGATTGAACTAGTTGCACCCGTCAGAGCCAGGCTCAATCGCCCTCGAGCTGTCAACACGCGCGAGTTCGGTGCGGGACTATACTCTGGTGCTCCAGAATAATGCAAGTAGGATATTGGCTCTATGTTGTTCGCTAGAACTCGCGTAAGTTCCATACTTTGATGGTTGTAACTCATTTGCTAAGCCTTTCGTAGTCTTGCTGTCCCTCGATACCCGCCACTCGTTCGCTTTTAACGGTGAGTTAAGCGACTTGCGAATCCTGTGGATTACGCTGATCTCGCTCGTAGCAAAGTCTCACTTTCTGCTGCTTACTGAAACTTCGCGTCGGACTGTGTCATCACGTTCTACGCCTCTACACATGTGGCACGTTGCTTATGCAGTATGATTATATATAAACCGTTTGATATGCGAGTACCTCGAAAAGGGGATGGGCGACGATAAGCTGCATGCTACGAATTCAGTCGGGCCCCTCTGTGCTGGCCGCAAAGACGAATGTTGGCCATGCTACATTCGGCTCATCATTCCTCACAACGCCCTCACTGCAATAGAGGGTGGCTGTGCGCCGTGGGGTCTTTGCGCTGGGGCGCAAGAGTGACGTTCCCGGTGTTCTACTCGCCATGAGGAGACTATCTCACGCTGACGTTCAGTTGCGGCCTGTGGGCACACCGGGGGGAGGAGTACTGGCGAACGTTACACAATCGATATATTCCAGCATGAAGTGAGGATTGGCGAGACAACGAAGTTCAGGCTCTACCCGATCTTGAGTTTGCTGGAGGCTCCGCTTGACCGCGCTCCTGACATTGCTAGTCTCGTGAGTTAGTGTGATTTTGGAATTCTCAGAGGGTATTCCTCACAGCCGAGATGGTTGCGGAAGGGATCCAACTTGTCCCAATCTATCCCCGTGCACGTACGAGGGGCGCTCAAGCTGGTCAATCCGCGTCGCCCGGGGGCATAGCGCGGAGCACAAGCGCAGGAAATTAAAAACGTTACTGTGGCGAAAAGCAGGCTTCATCCCGTAGAAAACCCACAGAAACGGACTATCAGGACTTCGCAATTCGCCGCTGTGGAAGTGTCCACGAGCGTACTCGTGGACACTGCCAGATCGGCGCGGCCACGCTTAGCGCGTGAGAAGGCCGCCGCCACACGCCGCGGGTCCTCCGCGCGCGTGTCGGCGTATTCCTCGTCTTCGACCGTCACCACCATCTCTACTAACGTCTCCAGGTATTCTACTCCCACGGCTACCGCATTCATCCCCACGATCTCCTCGCCAGGCCTCGGCGCCACGCATCCGCGTCTCTTTACCGGCACCTCGGCACCGAGTGCCTGCGTGCCTTCATAACTAAACGCCCGCGCGTTGCGCGCGCTAAGTACCACCGCCCAAGGCGATGCGAGGGATATTAGTTTAGGGTTCTGTATCTCACACGCTATTCCCCTCATACTCTTACGATACGCTCTCGGCTTACTATACTGATCTCAGTTTTCCCCCCCATCTCGATCCCACTTCCCGACGAT